AGGGCTATAAATGGGATGAATGTATGTATGGTTTGACGCAAACATGATATGATCTAATGATATATTGATGGCCACAAACATTGAGTTAATTTAAACAACGGATCGATATTTGATAGAAACGGACAAAGAGTTGCTGTAATGAAGAGGCGATTAGGCTTTCAATGCATTCAATTCAATGCAATTTACTGCAAGTCTTGTGTCTCACAAACAAATTAATTGCTCTTATATTTCGTATAACGAAATATAGAAACGCTTCAAATCTTCATTAAATCTGTTCATCAAATAAGAAGAAACAGTAATTTTTTCATTTTTTGGACTTCAGATAAAAATCAATTAATTTAGTGATGTCTAAGTTGTCGTCATTTACTATTTTGTAGACTTAAATCAAGAATTGGGAAGAATTCTTAATAACTTCATATTTATTTTGAGATCAACTTATACGGTAGCAATACAGTACTTACGGTAATAATATTAACATATGTTATACATTTGTTTTTCAGAAAAATAAATCTGATAAGAAAACTAATTACAGTACAAATAAATTGTAGAAACAAAAAATTATATCAAATCTACACTAAATAAGACTAATCCCTCACAAGTGGACTGTGATTTAGATACAAAAATTAGCAAAAATATGAATTTCATATTTAGGACATTAATCTCAAATGGTGTGAGACATCAATAATAAATGGATTGCAAGCGGATAGCAATAAATCATTGAGCGGTTCCACTGTTAGCCAGAGAGGCGTTGAGGGCAGCCTTTGCCGCCTCCATCTTCTTCTCGGCCGCATTGGCCGCAGCAGTGGATCGGCTGAAGTCGGCCACAATCAAGAAGTAAGAGGCGACCGCTGCGATGGTCTGGTAGTCAACAAATTCAGTACACAATCACTTCATTTCAATGACAATACTATGGCTTACATTTGAAATACTGGCGTTTGTTATAACAAACAAATCGAGACACGAATAGCCAATAGTGGGTCCTCTCACCCGATGCAAGAAAGTGGACAT